CGACCAACGCAAAAGACGTCAACATTGGGTTAAGACGGATTTTCATACGTGTGTGTGTGTGTGTGCTTTTGATGTAATGAGTACACTCTTATAGCTAAGAATGCGCTCTTAACACTTTTGTTGATCTTTATCGGAAACAACAAAATATTGTGGATACTGCAATATGCAAAGTGGATATTTGAAATAAAGTTGACTTTCACATCGGGAATCGCAATTGTTCAGAAACGTTGACGTCTCGTTCGGATGGCGTACAAATTCATTGAAACTAATTGATCGTACCAGTACGCCTTCTAGAGGTACATACATATATATATACATATGTATATGCATACAAACACTTGACAATTAACGGCTAGCAGCACACTTAACGTATGGGCGTGGCATGACCCGACTGATCGGTTAATTGGGCAAAGCAAAGAAGGGGCTCCCAAATGTGCTAAAAACCGGATGCGAGCCAACAAAATCGTCCCGGATGATGTTGCCAAAGTATCAAAAACAACAATAACAGCAGCAACAATAACCGGCTAAATGGCAAGCGCTATACAATTGAATAAAACGTAATTCGCTTACAAAATTAATCAATTGTTTACTTTGAAATTCTAAATGGATTGGTCCGAATATGATTGTATGTATGTATGTAGTTGCTGTCTACATGTATGCCATGCCTCAGACACGCACGATCAAGATCAACTGCCGCATTTAATGGATCTACTTGTTCGTGTGGCTCATCTTCGAGCCGTTCTTTATATGCAAATTTGCGCTTGTTTAATGAGTGAGGCATTCGGTTATGTTGGGCATACGCTCAGTTTGTCTCAGATAAGTTTGTCTCAATATAATATCAACAACTATAACAAACGGAACCGGTTGATGATGCTGCGATGAGAGCAACAACTTGTCCACTTAATGCCCAATAGAAATATGCAGCTACATATATTGATATTATTTATAGTGAATACAAAATATGTATTTATTATATTTTATTTTTGGTCAACCCCTTTAAAATGGCCTGCATACTTGTCTAACAGTATAATTCACTTTTAAAGTGTGCCTAATAAACGGGTTTCGCTTTAGCTTAGTTTATGAGACGACTTGTTTACCTGTTTTTTCTACATTGATTATAATTTACATACATTTATATGTTTATATATGTATATACACTAGCTTGAACCAAAGAATATAATTTAAATAAAAATCATATTGTCTTTGCTTGAATCCACATTTCCACGCAGTAAAAAGCGGATTTTCTGCAATCTTGCGTGGAATTTTTTGAAATTTTTGAAAAACTTCCACAACAATGTTTACCACAGCTCTTTGAAATTGAGTTTAAAATCGATTATATGATAAACAAAAGTTTCATACAAGCGTTTTCCATATATTTTCCACATTTGCGGGTGGAATCAGAAATCCCGTCTTAGCAGGCATTTTTACTTTTTTTTTGGTTTTTGTTTTTTTGGTTTTTTTTGTTTTTTGTTTTGTATATATGCATGCATGTATGTATGTGCATATGCATGTACATACGTATGTATGTATGTGTGTACGTATGTATGTATGTATGTATGTATGTATGTGTGTACGTATGTATGTATGTATTTATGTATGTGTGTATGTATGTATGTATGTGCATATGCATGTACATATGTATGTATGTATGTGTGTACGTATGTATGTATGTATGTATGTATGTGTGTATGTATGTATGTGTGTGCATATGCATGTACATATGTATGTATGTATGTATGTATGTATGTGTGTACGTATGTATGTATGTATGTATATGTGTATGTATGTATGTGTGTGCATATGCATGTACATATGTATGTATGTATGTATGTATGTGTGTACGTATGTATGTATGTATGTATGTATGCATGTATGTATGTATGTATGTACGTATGTATCTATATTTTAACATATGTAATTATGTATGTATGTGCGTATGTACGTATGTATGTATAGGCGTACATAAACTGAAAACTGCGCCCAAAAAATCTTTGAATCGCTTTTTTACTAAGGAATTTTGGATTTGGATTCTGCGAACACGTCTCAAATGATTTTTCATCTAGATCTTTGGAATTAAATTTGAACACGAAACGTGACCCCCATTTCCACCATGGAGGAATGCATTTTTCGAAAAGTTTGAAACACCCCCCTCAAATGTTTTGAGCAAAGATCTTTGAAAATGAGTTTGAGGCCGTTCGGATGGCAAACAAAAAAGATTCATACAAACGTTTTTCGCGATTTTTTCCGTTCTGCTTCAAACTTATTTTTAAAGCGCTGCATAAGAATTGAATGAAAACGTGTTTCAGCGATTTGGGAAATTCCACCCGCAACAGTGGTAAATTGGAAATTGGAAATTGTTTGTATGAATGTGGTTTGTTGACCATCCGATCAGTTTCAAAATCTTTTTCAAAGTCTTTTTGAGAACATTTACTTTAGACGTGCCACGGGAAGGCCGGGTTATAGTAGTATATATATACATATACATATATGCATACAAATGACCCATATGCTAGCTTTACTTTTAAAAGATAACCAGAAAAAAAATAGAAATAAAAATGAATGTTCTGAACAGGGAAAATATTCCAAAATCCAATTAAAAGCAAAGAGAGCAAGAGCGGCAGCTGTATTATCAAATAGAAAGCTAAAAATCGTTATACTATTTGGTTTGATAACCTCTTCAACTGACTTGCTTGCATTATATATGGGGCTATCTTCACAACCGACCCTCTATATAGACTGTAATATTCGCTAATAAGGAAACAATTTGCTTCGATTCCGCTTTATTTACAACTGATGTGGGAAACACTCGTCGAACAGATAACAGATAGAAGGAGAAGCACCTAAGACCCGATTGTATTATTCATTAACAGACTATTGAAATTTTATTAAGAAAAGCAAAGCCAATTTGATAACAAAATTGCAACAACTTTATAAGATAAATAGTTGAACAACGAAGCCAAACAATAATTACTCATACGACGTGTGAATCGTGTACAAGCATACAAACACATCTCGAATGTACTTAATTTGTGGGCACGCTTATTGGATGAGAAAAACGTGTCCAATGAATATTGCGAAACTGCCAAACAAAATCAAGTAAAAATGCGCTAATTACTGGATGAATCAAGTCTGGTATGCAGACCAGTATAAGCTCAGCTAGACGATCGTCTGCCTGTATATAGCATCGATCCAAGGCGCAGACGGTGAAAATTAATTATGCAAGTGTTAATTGGCATATTAATTTGATTTGTTTTAATACGCAGCCAGAACATGGTTAGCTGGGAGCAGGGCAAAGCTATTGCCAGATAGAGGCGTCATTATACAGTTGTTTTATATAGCCCACATATCTGGTTGACTTGGTATTGTTATGCTAGGTTGGGCAACGCCTGCGGTTGTTATAATTGTGATGGGAGCTTGACAAAGCCATGCCACATGTTGAAACCCAACAAGTAAGAGGATCTAGTCGGGAGCTCCCGACTGGGGGATACCCTGAACCCTCTTCTTCCAACAGGCGATAGGTAGAAAATTAAAGATACTTGATATATATATATACTATTCTAGGAGCTACATGTCAAGATTGGTGACTCTAGCTCATATTATTTGCTGAAATTGCTCAAAAAACAGGAATTCGATATCGATAACTTGGAAACGGGGCAAGTTATCGAATATCGGAAACAAACTCGATCTCTAGCTCTTATAGGTTCTGAGATCCTTGCGTTCATACATACGGACAGACTGACAGACAGACAGACGGACATGGCTAGATCGACTCGGCTATTGATGCTGATCAATAATATATATACTTTATGGGAGATGCTTCCTTCTGCCTGTTACATACATTTGCACAAATACATAATACCCTTTTTACCCATTTTTAATGGGTTGAGGGTATAAAAAGTGTGGACCGCAGAGTTAGGTAATTGATAATGAGACTTGAGATAAAATGAAATAAATGAAAATGCTTAAGATTTATGTTTGGCTACGCTGATAATAAAACTTTAAAACTTCAGCTTAAAAATATTTTTGAATCACAATAATTTCGATGAAACTACATAGGTTGCCAAATATGATAATATGTCTATGGAATGAGCCAATGCCAAAGGAACTAATAGAAAATTGTTGAATTTGTGCTCAATGTGCCACACACGCGCACACAAACGGATGTGCTTGAATATGTGCCAAGAAAATATTACATTATCAAAAAAGACAGGAATATAAACAATAAAACCATAAAGCATTACGCATAACTACGAAAAACGAAAAGAACGAGCGAGCCAAAGGGAAAACCATGTGTGGAAAAACAATAATCAATTGTTCTTGGAAAAAGGAATATACACATAATTTTACAAGTTTCAAAAGTGGGTGGTGGTTGGTGGGTTTTTCTTTTAGTTGTGTGCTTTAACAACACAGCTTAGTTTAGTTTAGGTGGAAGAATTCGTATTTAAAAGGTTTTTATTCCTAACCTCGCCGCCCAACAATTCCAAATCATGCGATGCGGCATGCGAAGCCGTTTTTATGATCTTGTAGGTCTTGGCGAAGGGCGCCTTTAGAAGCTGTCGTATAGAGATTTATCACATAAAGGTTTCAGTTTTGGATTTGGTTTTGGTTGTTTTTTTTTTTTTTTTTTTTTTAGCCCATGGATTGGCAGATTTTGTATTGTATTTAAAAATAAATGCAAATTGAAACACAATAAAGACACGAAAGGAAACAGAAAGATGGAAACGCGTGGACAATAAATGTAAGAAAAAGTATACAAGAGATATATTAAAATACTTTCAACAATTTCGAGGCATAACCTAAATAATTTTTTGCTTTTTTTTTTTTCGTTTTGGATTCAAAATTTTGAGAGAGAAACTTTTTTTTGTTATATACTTAGTAGAAAAATGCGAGAGAAAAACTCAGAGCAATAGATTAAAAATTATATATATGTATATGAAAGGACGCACAATGCGATTGCTGTTGCATTAGATAATGAACAAATTGATCAAAATTGAGCTCACCTCCCAGGACTCGCGGGTGAGATCGCCAATTTCCTCGCCATCCTGGCTGTCGCTGTAGCCGCTTGCCTTAATGACTCCGCTCTTTGTCCATTCGGTATCCTCCTGGATTAGCTCAAAGCCGCGCGCCTTTATTTGCTCTTCGTCCAATTCACCGTACAGGTGTTTCACCCAGGTGTTTATGAAACGATAGAGCTCGTCAACGCTATAGAAAATTGTTTTACAGTTAGCTATACAGAATAGGTACGGTTGTTCAGGTGGGTAACTCACCGATTTTTGGGCACACTGAACCAATATTCGGCGCGCAGCTTGTTTTTGCCATAGGACATGACTGTGGTGCCCTGTGGTATTGCCTTGCCAATGGGCTTGCCCATGCGCAGGCGGAAATACAAAGGTGGGTCAGAGCAGGCGCGTGCGGGACGCGGTATAAGCTCTGTGAGCAAGACAGCGATTATTAAATGGGATTCAATACAATATTTCATTAACCACTTACTGTCCACGCTGATAAACAATTCCGGCTTGTCATCCATCGAGACCATGGAACGGTAGTCCAGCTTGGGCGGCGGCTGTTTGGCCTCCTTCAGCTTCGTGCTGGACGCAGTACCCTCCGAGGAGTGTGGGCGTATAAAAGTGCCAATAGAGGAGCGCCTGTGGAGTCAATGGAACAAGATATTAGCAGTGCAAATTGATAATTGTCCGAACTGATAATAACGACTAGTTCGAGTATAGAGAGTATGGTTCTAGTTTTTGACTACGATGCTTTGAGAATTTAAATTAGCTGGTGAACAAAAGTGGGAACTGAACTATAAAAGATGTATTCGTTGAATGAGTTACACAACAACACTACAACATCAACAACACAGTGCACAGGTTCCAATCCGTCCTTACCCATAGGTCATGTGACCCTCGGAATGTGTCGAGTGTGGAGTCAGTGGCGGCACTGGCGACCCACCAGATTCTTCGGACGGTGTTTTCGAAAACAAGTTGCCGCCCAGCTCTGATACCAGAGTGATGGGCGAGCTATGTAATTCATTTATATATGTATATCATATAGTGTGTACATTTGTTGTGTGCGTGTGCGCGTGTGTATGTGTGTGTGTGTGTGAAAAGCATAAGTTAAAATTTGCAAAAGCAGCCGATCCGCATTAACCGAGGGTAAGCATTTTTTTTCCAACGAAATAAACAAATTTGTGGCACCAATTATATAGGAGTTAATATGTTGTTTAGATTTTAACTGAAATTTCATTTGCGCACCTTGAGAATACTTTCGAAAATACACTCTGGTTGGAGTCACCCGTGTTGGGCGCCGAATCTGTGTCCGCCGACTTGTTCAGGCCGCTGCCCGGGGCAGGCGGTGCGCCGCCCTCGCCAGTTAGGCCCTCCACCCAAGTCAATGGATATGACAGACGTTTTAGCATCTAGAAAGCGTACGAAACATTCAATTAATTGTGCAAATCTGGTCTGCAGACATATGTTTCTGCAGCTCATTTAGTTGTGGTTTACTCACCTTATTTTTCTTATCCCCCTGCTTGTCGCCGCTCGCTGCCGCAGCTGCCGATGCGGCTGCCTGTGCCTGCTGTGCTGCCTCGTCGTCAACGCTGAAACTCACGCTGGAGGTCTTCTTGCGAGCGCCGCCAGCGTCGAGACTCTGGCCAAAAATGGTGCTACGTGGCGGTGACTCGCTGAAATGCGTGGGTACAATGGTCTTCGGCGGCACCCAGTCTGAGCTGAGCACGATGTCAGCGTCACTGTATACGGTTTTCTTTGGTATCGGCTGTATTGTGGGTATGGGTTCGCGAATATCGATGCCCGAGTCGTAGCAGGACTGCTTCGACAGCTCCTCCAGAAGCTCCAAATCAATGCCAGATGGCGGCAGCATTCCCGGCACCAGACCACCCACAGCGCCAGATGCAGAAGCAACAGCAGCCGCAGCCGCAGCCGCCGCAGCAGCTGCAGCGGAACCACCTCCTTTGGCTCCTTTGGCATCGCCGCTAACCGAGCTCGCTGTCGACTGTGGGTCCTGGACCCGTGCGCCGCTGTCTATGGTTATGTTGGACTCGTTGTCGGCCTCGTCTTCCGATGATCTTCGGGAATTAGACAAACAATAGCTGAGTATTTGGAGTGTGCAGTGGGTTGTAATTTACAGTAACAGATGCAGGTTCACGTGTGTGCGTATGTGGGTGTGAGAGGTGTGTGTTTGTAAGGCACAAATGGCAAATATGGTTATGTATTTATTGAGGGAACGTTGCGGTTTAAGATATGAAAATAAAAACACAAAAAAATGTAGAATAAGAAATTATTAACAGCAATACATTTTGTTCCGTTTGGTTTTAAGACTTGGTTGTGAGTTAGCAAAACAAAACCATTAAAATAAATTATTTCAAGCACACACACAGCTGAATAAATACGAACCGATCTTTGCTGGGTATGGCCCAGTGGTGATCCAATAGACTCTTGCGTCGCTCCTCCAGCGTACTGCGTGTGTTGGTCAGGCCTAGCGTTTTCTTATCCTCGTCCTCATCCTGAGCGTCAGTCTTAGCGCTATCTTTGGCATCCGTTGATGTATCCTGGTGGTAGGCGCGGTAATAGAATCAGTAATTGAATAAACACAGTTACCGCTTTGATTGCTTTGATTTGCATACCTCAACACGATCGCGCTCAAAGGCCTTCGGGAAGGCATCGCCATCGCGACCAGTGCTGGAACATAGTGACTCCTGATCATCGGTGATCTCCAGTGAACCAATTTCGGCTAAAATTATAAACAAAAAAAAAAAGATTAGCTATCATTCAGTCTCTTATGGTATTAGATCTTACCCTCCAAGCGTTGCTTGTTGACGTCCATGTCCTCCTGCTGTTCGGGCAACTCCTTGGAATCTTCCTCAACTAATACTGGTTTGGGATAATAGATTTCGGGCTTCTCTGCATCACTGCCGGCGCTAGCAGACGCTGCAGCCACACTCGGCCCGGCACCACCAGCCACACGCATGTGCGCTATGTCATGGAATATGGCTGCATTTACAACCAGATCCATGGGTGCTATGACCCCATAGCTTTCTGGGCCATGCTCAATGACCAGCGGATCACTGACATTTGGATCAAACATGACAGCGTTGCGTGTGACCAAGAGAACGCCACCGACAACACCCTGGCCATCTGTAATGTGGCGTACATTAATCTTGAGAAAGCGCTGCGTAATCACGGGATCATCGCTCTTGTCCGCATTCTCCTCGGCCTGGTTGTTGCCAACGCTGCTGTTGCCCACAACGCGCTCAATGTGTCCTGGCTTGGGCGATCCTGGGCGCAGGCCCTCAAGAATATCTGCAAGACAAGGATATGGCGTGAATATATTTATTTGTAGAGCTGTTGCAAAACGCGCAATTGTCTGTTAAGGGGCAAGCGCTGTGATTTTTATCTGCCTGATAAGATAGTGTGTGTGGCCCAACCAGGCCAAATTGATTTATGTGGTATTTAGTTTAAATGTAAATCTCTACAAATGCGGGACATGTGACATTGATAGCTTGGCGAAATGCGCTGCAAATTTGCAGCGAGCCGCGCACTTAACAGCCATCGTTTAATTAGCACATTGATGTATCAAGAAGCCAAATTTGAATCCGCCAATAACCTCCGTTTCGCCAAAATACAGCCGTATGCATGCTGAGACTGATGACGTCTGGTCTACGCGTCGGTGCACTTTACAACACTTGCAATCCAATATGGTCAACGTGCGTGGCCCAAATGTTTAGAACTTCTTTCGTTTTATCTATTCCCGTCGTTTGGGCCACACAAAACAAATACAATAGCGCAACTGTCACGAACACATAGCACAGTTAGGGCTGCACAGTTTTAGCAGCTGTTATGCCAGGGCTGCAGTGTTGGTAAGCGCTGTTGCGAAGCGTTGCCAACTATCTCACGGCGCCGTTGAATTTGAACCGCGAATATATGTATGCATGCAAAATGCAGCCAAGCAAAAATTTTAAATTAAATATATGAGATAAGCAAAACTAGAGTAACTCCAAAATTAGCTTCAATATCATCGCACCAATTACACCATTTCCAGGATCGTCGCTTACCTTTCTCCTGCTTGCTCTCATCGCCAGAAAACTTGCGCTCAATTGGACTGGATTTGCCGGAGACACTGCCGCCGCCCCCGCCCCCGCCATCAATCGTGCCAGAGGAACTGGTGGAGGCATCGTCTTTGGCACTCTTATCGGGCACCAGCAGCTGCTGCCCCGGATATATAAACGAGCTGTTCAGCCGATTCAAATGTGTTAGCTCCGATGGCGTGGTATCAAAACGTGCCGCCACCGATGTTAGTGTGTCGCGATTTCCCACAGTATAGGAAATGGTGGGTATGGTGGGCAATGAAGACTTTTGCCCTGTGAAAAAGAAAACGGCTTCAGTTAATTAACTAGACTCAACAAATAAACTAAAAATCAAAATAAATTATATATATAATGTATAAAATACAATATAATTTAAACAATTAACCATGTAATATATTCGAGTAATTTTTACTTTGCGGCTTCTTCGGTAGCTGATCAAAGATCACGTACTCCTTATTATCAGGCCTCAGGCGCGAATAGATAACATCTGTTTCTATTGCATCGTGCGCCACCTGCACGAACTGGCGGCACAAATAGACGACAACGAAATCGTTGGCGGCCAAAGACGGCATTGTTTTATTTACATTGGAACGCCAATAGATTTCAACAAACTCCAACATCCTGTACAAGATCTGGTAATTAATAATTTATGTATTCCACGCCTTTTTACGTGTATTTGCCTTATTGCGGATGACTTAAAACTCTCCCGGTTTTAAAACTCTTTTTATTGCGCGTCCTTCGCTTCTTCTCTTTTGCTACTTGTTCGTCCAAGCTGCTGCCAGCAGAAAAAACAATATTAATACCAGCAGCAACATCTTTGTTGACAGCAGACGCTGCAAAATTTTCGTTGAGTCGGCAGTTTTCCGTTTCGAAATGCAAAAACGATATGTAACGCCAAGACTGGCGGCGCGAAATCAACAATGTTCTTAGTTTTATGTGGTGTGTGTATTTTTTGTTATGTATAAATTTGATAATGGCTTTTTTATAGGGACTTTGTTATCAACGTTCCGCAACTTTAGCATAGCCCATAAGCCCAACTGACGCCATTTACCGTGTGTGAGTCAACAGGTCAAGAGTGATTGATTTTTTATAGTGTTTTTTTTTTTTAAGTTTCAAATACTTTCTTGTTATTCAAATGCGAAGTCGACAAATTTTTTTTCCATTTATCATTTTTTATTTCATGTTTTTACACTTAGCCGCATCAGGAACAAAACTTTAAATTGTTTTCTTGTTTACTGGAGGCCAAAAAAAGACCGACCAGTTACAAGATAATACGGTACCGCAAGAACCGTTATCCCCCCAAAAAAAAACTAACAGATCAGATGGTTGGTTCGCTGTAACGACAGCTGATAGCTCCATTTAAAACCATTTAGCAGCTGTTAAATTTTAAAACTAACAGACCAGTCTTCAGAAATAGATAAAGTGAACTTTAATACTATTTTCCTTCTTGAAAAGTGCTGATAACAGTGGTGTGCGCTGTTAGAAGACGTGAAACATTTAGAAACGCGCAGCTAACTTCGCGTGAGTTCAGTATGCGCGCAAAACCATAGATGGCGATAGTGTGCGGGAATTGCGCGCGCCTTTTTCAAATTGAAATTGTTAACATGAAATACTCACTTGACAGTTTGTCGACGCTCTCAAATCGCTGCTCAACTTTTGAACGCAACGAATCCAAATCGAATGGGGCCGCAAGGCCATGATCCACACTGCGCGATTTGCTCCTGTAATATAAATAAAATAAGAAGAAAACACGTGACGAAGCACAAATCGGTTGTTAAATTAATTGGCAATATAAAGCGATAGCAACTTGTTGCTGCGATCTTTATCACTTACAAATTTTCCAGCTTAAATTGTGGCCATAACCAGCTAATAACAATTTATTTATGTGTTTATTTTGTTGTTTTTATTTATATGTAATGCTTTTTTTATCTGGCAATCAACAATTGTGAACTGACCAAAAATGGACAACGACGAATTTTAAATCGTTTGTTTGTTTGTTTCTTTTTTGTTGCGCTTTTTTTTTGCGTTTGTAATTGTTTTACCCGACGTAACCTTTAAATGCTCTCGGCCTGACACGAGTCTGTCCTCAGAGTTTGGTATGGAATTTCATAAAAATACAAATTTAAATGGAAAACATTGATTCCATAGCATAGCAGGCCTGCGGAGAGCAGTCTGCTGTGTAAAATACGTTCATGTGGAAGCTGGCATAATCCTGAGCCATTGCCTATTGAAAGTATTATGGAGGAATATACACGCGAGCCGTGCCCCTTTCGCATAGTTGAGGACTGCGGTGGCGCCTTCACCATGGGCGCTGTGGGTGGCGCTATATTTCAGGCCATCAAAGGTTTTCGCAATGCCCCCTGTGGACTGCCGCGTCGCCTGGCGGGCGGCCTGGCCGCGATGCGTGCCCGTTCCGGACTGGTTGGCGGCAGCTTTGCCATTTGGGGCGGCACCTTCAGCGCCATCGATTGCAGCCTGGTCTATAGTCGCGGCAAAGAGGATCCATGGAATTCAATTATCAGCGGTGCGGCAACTGGCGGCGTACTGGCTGCACGTGGTGGCAAGTGCTCGAATATGGAATGCCATTATATGGACTTTGTGCCAAAGATAATGTTAACATTTCAGGTGTCACCGCCATGCTGAGCAGCGCCTTGGTGGGCGGGGTGCTGCTGGCTCTCATCGAGGGCGCTGGCATTGCCATGTCGCACTATACGGCTGATAACTATCGCCAGGTATCTGTGCTGGAGCGTATGCAGCATTACAATGAGCGTCAACTGCGTCAGCAGCAGCAGCAGCAGCAGCAGTCGACGACGATTCCCAGCTTCTACACGGATCCAATCGAGGCGAGTCTCTGTCTCTTAAATCTTCTGAATTTCATTCAATTGAATGCATTCGATTTTTGTCTCATTTTTGCAGGGCAACTCGATGCCGGCTTAGAAACCTGCTGCGTCATCGATAGGCAACGACCATCGAATACAAATGTTGAAAATCTGTTTTCGTTTTTTTTTTTTTTTTGGTTTTTCGATTGTTCGGTAGCGGGGCATGCGGCAAGTGCCTCGAAATTGAATAGAAACACAATTGCTGGCACATTCAGTTTCATTAAAATTCATTTGCCGTGCATTTAAAGCTCTTTTTTTTTGCGTACGTTTCTTTGTTGTAGAATATTCTTAACATTTTGATGTTGTCGCGGAATTTTTGATGGCGGCAATGATGACGACTTGGATATTATAGCCGCGTGTGCTTCCTAGCGCCAAGTTTGTAAGCAGCCTTATAGAGTCCGCTGCGCGTTTTGGCATGCGGCGAACTATGGACTACCGCCTCGATATATGATAATGCCTGGCCAGTTTCCTACTCAAATAGTATACATGCATACATATCATACATATCATGACTTCTTTCGATATCAGTCGGACAACAAAAGTTGCAACTATTTATCTGTGACAGTCTGTCGCGTGTGTGGCTCGCTTTTTACAATTCCTTGTAACATCTTGATTGACAAAATTTAATTTCCGCCCGTGCACACACTGTCATCCGTTCGAAGAAAAAAAAAAACGAAAAGAAATCATCGTTTGGGTCTTTGTGTAAGAGATTGAATAACTGATTGACGGCTTGTTAAATGCAGGAAAATTGCCAATATACAATGTTCATATAAATATATGAATATGTACTTATTAAAGACGGGCTGCAATTGAAGTCGTGTTCTGTTTTGTCTTACAGAGAAATAAATTGTTTAAAAAAGAAGAAAAGAAAACGCAAATAAAATTAATTTGCGCGTGTCTGCGAATGCGTTTGGCAATTAGCGAATCCAACTGCGATAAACGTAATTGAATATCAATGATAAAAAAAAAAATATTTATTCAATTCTAGCATTTATGTGTGCGCGTTAAGGCAGCTGAAAAAAAATTCCGAGCACATGCAAAGAGCCTTTTGTCTGCAGATAAACAGAAAACTAATTATTTACGCGCATATTTGTCGCTCTTTGTATTTATTCTGTGTGTATTATTTATCGCAATTTGCAATTTCCATGCCGATTGACTTATTTCTGGAATTTCGCTTCTATTTTAATTAATTGCGCAGCTGAAATATATCACAAATTAAATAAATTTCGCCATATCGTCGTGCTTATTCCCCTCTAAGATGCCTTGAAACCATAGAATCAAAAATATATATGTATATATATATGTATTGTATATCTAAGCTGGAAAGGACAACTGTGTTTGATTTGTAAGTTGCGACATTTGACGACAGACACAAACATTATTTGTTTAATTTATTAAGCTCACAACAGGCAGGGAATTTCGTTTATACAGTTGTTTCATTTCCAGCTAAAACGCGATCACATGAGTAACATTTTTTTTTACTTTAATTTATTATTATTTTAATATTCTTGCTCGCGCGCGTGTTCAGTAAACATTAATAATATGTGAGTTTATATCTATGTATGTCTGCAGAGAAAAAGGGCAACAAGCTAATCCCGCTAAAGATCCTGTTTACTTTTTGTAGAACTCAAAAAAGACCAATAAACAGTAGCAACATCTGAATACATATGTACATATGTATGTGGTTACTTCACGTACATACATATTAACATACATATATTTGTTGCCATATTTGTGGCTATATCTTATCAGTATTTGCTTTCGATATTTTGGGCCTGGATAACGAAACGACAGCAGCATAGTGTTAAGCCTTTTGGCTTTGGCAATGACAAGTGCCAGCGCGCCAAACGAAAAGCTGGATGCAGTTGTTGCCACACTGACACCACCCGAGTCACCCACCGATCCACCGAACCACCGATCCACCGAACCACCGATCCACCGACTAGACACACAGCTGACATATGTGGACAAATGACAGCAGGTTTATTTATAAATTACAAACATCCATATACTAGTTGGACTTTAGCATTAATGAATCCGAAATATTGTTAAATTGATTTCCATTCAGCTGCTAATTGCACTTCTGGAGATTCATTTGGCAAAGTTCAAGAACTCTTGAATTTACGAAACATAAACTTGTACTTCATAGGGAATATAAAGTATTTACCATATATATTTATTTTATTAGTTTCACAATTGTAAAATGGTTTCTAAATCTCCCATAATTCTAGGCAATAAATACTCGGACTAAAATAGCAAATGTCAAAACGATTGATGATGTCATCTCTCGTGCTGACATCTAGTCCCGGCTAAGTCGTCTGCTTTTATATTATTTCTGTATCTTCAACTAAACGAACTATGATATCACAAAGAACTGAGAGTATGTTGAGCGTACCCGATCGCTGATAAAAGTTGTTGGAAGTTAAAATGAATATGTAAAATTTGCAGCATTTTTTCTAATTGTATGCAAAAGAAGCAACAAAAAAAAAAAAAGGGCGACAGCTCTGATTGATATGACGCACCTGCTGATATTTGCTCTTTAATCTAATCTCTGTTAATCTGCACAGCTCGAATTTTGTTTTGTTCCTCTGCCTTATTTCCAAATGTTTGCAATTGCTGTTGAAATATAAGTATTATATACATATATTTCAGTTGCCGTCTTTTAATCATAATATCAGGCGTTCATTTAGTGCTTATTGTTGTTAACAGTTTTGTGGCTCTTATAAATTATCAATTTCGTTATAAGACAAGGTCTATTAAGATTATCTGGCAATCTATAAATAATAATAAACTGAACTGAACTGAACTGAACTGAACTGAGTATTTATTTATGTAACTCGATTGCGTTCTTTATAAATTAACTTGAACTTTTGTTTAAGTTTTGATTTGATATTATATTGCTTTTGATTATTTTACGGCCCAGTTATGGTCACAATAAAGCTGAAAAAAAAACTGTAATGTATATGGCAAGGAAAGATATATGCATATATGGTATATATGGTAAATCGTTATGTAAATTCATGCAATCTCTAGTTATATACACCATGCACACACACACACACACATATATATATATATATATATAAGGTTACCATGCGACATGCAAATCATAATGTCAATGAAATAGGGGTAGCATATACATATATTACTATTATATCAAAATATATGTGTTTTTATTGTGTGTGATAATTAAGTGGATTTGTTAGCTGATTAGTTGGACTTACCTGCGCACGGGAATCGCCAAGTTGTCAACGCTACGCGACAAACTGGAAACATCTTGACTAGCCCTACGTGACCTGGCACGTTATTAATTTAAAGTAGCAAACGAAATTGTGCCAAAAAATAAACGAGAAAATCATAAAAATCAATACATAACAAAAAAAAAAACGAAACAAAAACAAAAACAAAAACAAAAAATGTTTAAATAAGTACACAATTATATCGATTGTGTGTTTTTTGTGCCTGAAAGCTCGATTTAAATTTATGCAGTTTAACAAACGTCAATTCCAAAATGCACTCATAACTTACGTCCTCCTCGAAGCTAACCCGCATCGGGCCAGATCATACAACAATATACATTAGCACAATATTCAGATGTTTGGGTCTATCGATGGAGCACGTGGCGATAATGAAAGCACGCGCATTGCTTCAAGTTTTTATTAACTATAGAATTGTCACGTTCCTAAGTACTGTCTATAATGGCATAGAGATATATGTATAGTTGTGTACAATGAAGCCTTTCAAATATTTGAGATAGGTTTCTTTCTAATTATAAGACGAGGCTTACGCCATATTTCCGTTAATATCGCTCTGAGGCAGTTGACTTTAGTTTCATCGAGATATTCTACGAAATTATCAACTGGCCAAGGCCACAAGCAGTTAACATGTTTGATTGCACAATTATTCCATTAGAACATGGCTAATTATAGCCCGATCGCCTTGTCCAGAGATCCGCCTACAACAAGTTGGTCAAACAGCACCGAGCACCATGGAACGGATCATAAAGCCGCCCTATCTTTATAACGCCGAGAGTAATCAAAATGAAGTTTTCAGATCAATCAAATATTGGGCAAATAATCGAACGCTTGTGTTGAGTCTAACATTTTGGCCATTTGTGAAGAACAAACACATATGAATAACTGCCAGACAGCTCAATAAATTGTATACCCGCAACTTGAACGAATTGTGTTTGTTTATATGCGGAGTCATAAATTTAAATTTACAATTGATTAACACTTTTTACAATCAATTAGCGGGAGCACTTTCCCAGTTTCCAAAAATATCACACACACACACTCGACTGGAGTTAAATACAGCAAGTCTTATGGCTTTTTTTTTTTAAATGGATATAATTGATATTTAACACTCACAATCAATCAAAAAAAAAAAGCAACAAAAGTTTGTTTTGTTCAGCAGTGAATAAAAAAACTAGAGCACGAGAGAGAGAGAGAGAGAGAGAGAGAGAGACATAACTGACCTTTTGTGGAACAAAAAAGAGTGATATAATTAAGCATGTTTACAAAGAGGGCCAGAGGCAAGCTTGTCCGCAGCTCCAGCACTTTTGCTGCGTACGTGCCTTAAAGCATGTGTGTAGAAGTTGAGGCAATTGCTTTGCGGCTTTGTCTAACAATATTACGAAGATCTGTCTATGGGAGATGACCTAGACCTAGAGAGAACTTCCTTTGGAAGAACAGATGCAACTGACTTTGCTTGCACTCAAACTTTCTTAGCTAATGGATCATTAATGCTATGCTTTTTTTAGTGTTAGCTCTTACCAGTACTGTTGTGATGTAATCAATTGGTTTTGCATTTTTGCAGTAATTAATTTTGTCAATGAATATTTTGTATGTATTTCACAGACACATTTCTCGCACACTGCAATAAAAACAAGCGAAAAAACAAATTCTCGTAACATTTCCCTAAGCAGGCAGTCAGAAGCTTAATTTCAACGTTTTCCTGAAATTCATACGTGTTTTCTTTTGGGCAAAACTTGGCCACGCCGGTTGTGCGCATATGCATAAAAAAAAATAAATAAATATGGCCATCAATCATACGCACTGTCAGCTCGCTGAGATGACGACAGATGAGCTGTTTTTACAGCTTAGATAAAAAAAAAAACCGAAATATTGTTGGACGACAAATTCTGCTGACACTCTGTTGACTTTTAATGACTCAATTTTGCTGTCACTGTTGTATTTGCCGGCAATATTGATTACGACATTAATTAGCTTGTCAAATGTGCACGAAACGAGCGAATAACCAATTAATAAGCAACCGCAGCCTCACAATCACACAGAGCTCTTATCAATAGCCAACTGCAGCTGCGGCTGCTCAGCGCCAACGCGGCACGTGCTCCATGCAGGCATTGATATCAGCAGCAGCAGCAGCAGCAGCAGCAGTCAGCATCAACTGCCAGCTGGGCGGTGTTTGCTCTTTGGTTTGTTGCGACTTTTCCTACACATTGTTGCCGTAGGAGCAATCGATCAAAACTTGAACGCGAAAGAAGGGCTATCGTCGACTCGCCGAAGATTTAATACCCTTGCAGACCCAACCTTTTCATAATGCTCATAATGCTTTGCCCGCATCTAAGAAGCACAGGGAAAATAGTTTATGCCGAGTGTGGTTAAGATATCTTGGTAAACCAAAGAGTTTTTCATACGACAACTTAATTATCCTGTGGCAGCTATATGATATAGTGTTCCGATTTTGATAGGATTTCGCATATATATAGGGAGCATAGTAAAACTGATTAATGCTGAGTTTGGTAAAGATATCTTGATAAATAAAAAAGTTTTTCATAAAAAAACCTACTTTTCGACCGATTGTTCCTATGGCAACTATATGATATAGTGTTCCGATTTTGATAGGAATTAACCTGTATATAGGGAGCATAGTAAAACTGAATAATTCTGAGTTTGGTTAAGATATCTTGGTAAACAAAAAAGTTTTTCATACAAGAACCTACTTTTCGACCGATTGTTCCTATGGCAGCTATATGATATAGTGTTCCGATTTTGATAGGAATTAACCTGTATATAGGGAGCATAGTAAAACTGATTAATGCTGAGTTTGGTTAAGATATCTTGGTAAACAAAAAAGTTTTTCATATAAGAACCTACTTTTCGACCGATTGTTCCTATGGCAGCTATATGATATAGTGATTCGATATTGATAGGAATTAACATGTATATAGGGAGCATAGTAAAACTGATTAATGCTGAGTTTGGTTAAGATATCTTGGTAAACAAAAAAGTTTTTCATACAAAAACCTACTTTTCGACCGATCGTTCCTGTTGCAGCTATATGATATAAAGTTCCGATTTTGATAGGATTTCGCATATATATAGGGAGCATAGTAAAACTGATTAATGCTGAGTTTGGTTAAGATATCTTGATAAACAAAAAAGTTTTTCATATAAGAACCTACTTTTCGACCGATTGTTCCTATGGCAGCTATATGGTATAGTGGTCCAATGTAAATTAGATTTTGCATAAATTTAGGGGACCTAGTTTTCACTTAAAATTGGTGAGTTTGGTTAAGCTATCTTGAAAAACAAAAAAGTTTTCCATATAACTTAATTTTCATCCGATCGTTCATTTGACAGCTATATGATATAGTGGCCCGATATTGATAGGATTTCGCATAGAGCATAGCAAAACTAATAAATGTCGAGTTTGCTCAAGATACCTAAATAAACAAAAAAGTTTCTCATGCAAGAAACTTCCTTTCGATCTTCGATACCTTTAAAACTGAGAGACTAGTTCGCATAGAAACAGACAGACAGATGGACGGACAGACAGACGGTCGGACGGACGGACATGGCCATATCGACTCGGCTGTTGATACTAATCAAGAATATATATACTTTATGGGGTCGGAAACGTCTCCTTCAATGCGTTACACATTTCGCAAGGGTTTTTCTCCTATCAACATCGGCCTAGTCAAGTATACATATATCTCTATATGCAGATTGGTCAAGAAATATACTTTTGAATGGAAAACATTTGAAGATATCTTAAGCATAGGGTATTTAATGTTGTGTAGTTTTTGTTTTCTTTGATAACTGAATCCAGTTTTTAATTCACGTTTCATTTTTCATTTAATTTGCTTTGTTTTCGTTTTGCTATAATTAGAAATTTTCTTAATGCCGCATTGTTATCTCGCTTTTTTGTTAGAGCCGCATTGTTGTTAGAACCGCGTTTGTTTGTATTTGCCAGATTACAAGCAGGTGGAAAAGGGTTAATTGGATGTGTTCGTTAGCTAGCTGAAGAAGTTGTCGCTAACCGACAACAGTCACAATTGGAATCAATCTCTGAATTGGTCTGTTCAAGAGCCGTCTATATCTGCTTTATGTTTAATCTGAAAACCTAATCTCAATTACGACGCTTTTTCGGTTTTATTAATGGTTTTTCCGCATGTGCTATTTATTCCTCTCACATTTGCACAAAAATTCACAAGGTTAAACGTTTTTTTTTTTTTTTTTGTTTCGATTTTCTTTTCAAGTTTATCATAAATCAACTTGCACTTGAAATAATCTCCTGCCAGCAGCAACAACAACAACAAATTTGGGTTAAGGCTAAAGTTTCAGCTTTGCGGCAATTTTGTTTTCTTTCATTGTTTTTGTTGTTGTACTTTTTTTTTTTTTGTTTACAAAGAAAGCAAATACGCTACCGTTATCTTCTTTTTTTTTTTTTTTGGCCATGGGAAGTTATTTAGGCCTTTGTAAATATTTTCAAATGTCTTCTTAGTCATACACAAAATAAAGCCAACAAATTGTAAGCAAAAAGTGTGCAAAAGAAAAATGATAATTTAATGCATAATAATTAATTGCATTTGGTTATGAAATGACTTTTGCAATAATTTGACTAAATATTTTTGTGTGTGGAATCGTAATTTAAATAAATTGTGTCCAGTAATTTGAATAAATTTGTATTCGCGGCGCCGGTAAAAAAAAAAAAACAAAAAAAAAAACATCAAAACGAACCGGTTTGATAAAGAACAATATATTTATTCTTTTATACCCTGTACCCATTGAAAATGGGTAAAAGAGGGTATAATGTATTTGTGCAAATGTATGTAACAGGCAGAAGGAAGCATCTCCGACCCCACAACTATATATATTCTTGATCAGCATCACTAGTCGAGTCGATCTAGGCATGACCGTCCGTCTGTCTGTCTGCCCGTCTGTCCGTATGTATGAACGCAAGGATCTCGGAACCTATAAGAGCTAGAGACTTGAAATTTTAGCTGGAGGTCCTCCTAGTACCCGCGCAGATCGAGTTTGTTTCCGATATT